TTGTGGAGGTGAGCCACAGTCTGTGGGAGGAAATTCTGGCAAAGAGTGAAGGTAGTGGGCCATATGGGGAGGGGGAGAGGAAGAGAGCAGTATGGAGAGTCTTTGTGGTTTTGCTGGTGCTGTGTCATTACAGATGGTCATAATTTAGACTGTATGAGGAATGGATTGAACAGAGGCAGCAAGTGACCAGGAAATGTGTTGACATGAGAGTTAAATATCTGTGCTGTGTTGCCTCACAGTGGGCTGAGCAATCCTGGCAGTATTGCACACTTTTATTATGAGGATCGGGATGGAGAATGGGCTGTATTTTGAGGGGAAGATTAGATGCTATTTTAGTTACAAATGTGTCATACACTTGGATGCGAACGTGAAGTGTTTGCAATGCTTTATTTCAGGTTCATAAGGGAGTCCATGGGTTTGTCCAAGACAAGAGTGGCAAGGCAATTTCTAAAGCTACCATTATTCTTAATGAAGGTTTGAGGGTCTATACTAAAGAAGGTGGCTATTTCCATGTGCTCTTGGCTCCAGGTTTGCATAACATCAATGCAATAGCCGACGGATACCAGCAGAAGCATGTCAAGGTACGTGAATGTCTGTGGTGGAGATTTTCCCTCTGCTCCCTGTCCTGTAAAGGCATCCCTATCTGGGCTCTGCCTAGTTGGCTGTGTTTAGCTGCTGATTATGTGCCCAGGGTAGCTGTTTCCTGCCTTGGTATACTAGATGGAGAAGAATTTCCCAGCACGGCAGGGTTGTTTTGGGTAGTAGCTTTTCTCTGCATAGCACTTGTTTTTGGCATTTGCCCGGTCTTGCCCTGGTCATCAAGTATCTCTTTTGTCTAGACATCTGACAGAGGTGCAAGCTTTGAGACAGCGTGAACTCTTGTATCTTTCTGCAGGTCTTTGTACGTCATGATGCACCCAGCTCTGTGTTCATTGTATTTGATACAGAAAACAGGATATTTGGTCTGCCAAGGGAGCTGGTTGTAACTGTTGCAGGTAAAATGACACTTTTGATCAAAGCTCTGAGCTTTGCTTTCTGTACCAATTCATACTGACAATGACCCTTCTCTTCACTGAACCGGAAAAGCAGCTTGCAGACTTAAGCTATCTCTTCTTTCTCTTCTGAACACATTCTTGTCCTTGCAAACTGGTCCAACAACCCTTGGATCTGGTGATGCTGGGATAGCAGATGGGAGCGAGGGAGGGAGTAGAGGGTGTTTCAGGGGTCTGAAGGGTCCAGAATGGTTTTTGAGATGCCTGGAATGGGGAGAGCCTGTTTGTATGTAATGCTGAGAGCTAGGAGATCTTGCTTCTTCCCCAGGGTTTCTTTGAGTGGTGTGGCACCAGGTAAGCATTAAGAGATTTTTAATTTTTTAAAATTTTTTTTGTTGAGCTGGCAGCTGGTGGGGAGGCTAGAGTTTATACCCAGTGGTCGGCAGAGGAGCTCAGTGATGCTATCCTAGATTGTGAGCACAGAAAATAAAGCTATTACAGTGCTACTCTGGGAGCAGTTTTCCTGCATGGCATGTCTTCTGTGGCCTAGGAGGAAGGAGCAGGGTCACACCAAAGCAGGGAACGTGGTTGTGACTGTAGAAGGGAGGAGAGGTGGTGGCAAGCCTAGAAGCCCCTGGGGTGGGGGAACGTGGCATTAATTTTAATGTCTTCTCTCTGGCAGGTGCAAGTATGTCTGCTCTGGTCCTCACTGCCTGTATCATCTGGTGTGTCTGCTCAATTAAGTCCAACAGACACAAGGATGGCTTCCACCGCCTTCGGCAGCACCATGATGATTATGAGGACGAAATCCGCATGATGTCCACTGGCTCAAAGAAGTCTCTCCTGAGCCATGAATTCCAGGATGAAACAGACACTGAAGAAGAAACATTGTACTCCAGCAAACACTGACACCTCCCAGGCAGGAAAGGAGGTTCCCATGGACCAGAGCCGGTGGCGGGGGACGAGCCCTGTGGTTCAGTTTTGAAACGTTAGCTTGCAGGATGTGTCCTCCAGAGGTGTGGGTGGTAGCTCTCAACTTCCCTCTACTGTTTGCTTTGTTCCTAATCACATGCAAATCAGAGGGTGTTGGAGGCTGTGTTTGGGCTAAGGACATGGCTTGATACACTTGTGGGTCAAGATGTGGAGGTTCACATGATGTTGTTTGAAAGGCAACTTAACAGGGTGGCCAGCAGAGTTCCTAGCACTTCCCCAGCATCTCAACACAGTGAGCAGATGGTGGGGAAGTGCCCCAAGACCTGCATGGAGTCATAGTTACAATGCTCCACAGCAGCTTCTCTACCTGTTTTGATTTCATGTTTTCCACTCTGTTCTTGGGGGGAAGCCAGATCCTTCACTTTACTCCACATTCTGCAGAGCAGCCCTTGGAAAAAAAAAAAAAACAAACAAACAAACAAAAAAAATCCCTTGGTTTTCAGCTGCTCCCCTGGAGCTTTTTCCCACCATGAGATGCTGTGGCCTGCTATGATCTGCAGTGGTTGTGGAGTACCTCTAATGTGTTGCTAGTTCCAGGTAGTGACTTGGCATCCTGAAAGCTAGGGGAGATAACATTCATTCTTGATGTGAGCTGGAGGAAGGAGCAAATGCCAGAGCTTCTGTGAACTCTGACAGCTCTGTGGTACTGCTGTTCCTGACTTCTGGGGGAGAAAGAAACTTTATCCCCTTCACCCCTGGTTGATTTTTGTTTGTGCATTAGACTTGGCCTTTGGGGTTTCGTGTTAGTGTTACCACAGCAGAGTGTCTGAAGGAGCAACTGACAGTTGTTCTAAGCAAATGGATAAACTGGTTATGGTGGATACTGCAGAAAAGCGATCAGTTACTCCTCCACCTGATCAGTTTTCCTCAAGTCAACCACTATTCAGGAGGAAACAGTGAAATCTGACCACTGCTTTGTATTTGGGCGTTATTGGAGCAGCAAGGAGAGGTCGTGGGAGTATCCATGGCTCAACTTCACTCATAAATTTTGAAGAAAAGCTGTACCATTTGCCATTGTCCATCTAATGCCATTTAGTGATCAGTGATCAGAGCACTTTGGAAACACACTCTCATCAAGTTCTGGTGATGGTAGGCATCGAATTAGCCTGCTGGCTTGTCTCTGTTCTGCTACTACAGCATCCCTGAAGTATGCAGCAAGAGCTCCACCTGCTTGTGTGTCTGCTGCTGCGGGGGCTGGGTGCAGGGCGTGGGGAAGGGCTGAACGGCTGTGCTGGAGGAGATGGGAGAAGTGGCCAAATTCTGTTTTGTAGCTCTTGGCAGGAAGTTAGAAAGAGGAGCTGCAGTGTGCATCTCCAAAGACACTGGAGATTTGTGAGGAATAGAAGGAGTATCCAGAAGGAAAGAATGGCTGCAATGTTTGATTTCCAAAGTCTTTATGCATATCTGATGTTCCTGTGCTTTCTGGGCAGAAGGCTGGGGTTAGAATAGGCACTTATTTTCCTGCTGCTCATTTTCTTTTTTAATTCTTGCCCCACTGACTGGAGCTCTGGGGTACAGGAGCAACGTCTTGGGCACCTAGTTTGCCCTGGGCTGATCTGTTCTCCAGCAGCCTGGGGAGGTCCACTAGTGAAACCTGCACGTGGTGTCTATGGCGGGGGGGGGCCTGTTTGCACCGACATCTATGCTGGGGTCTGTTCTGCCGGGCTCTGGCCTGGTCTGTGAGGGAACATTGTTGAAAGCTGCTGGGCCATGTCACTGGGGAAGAAACTGTTCCTCACCTCTGTGTGGGGTAGATGCCCTTCTAGAACCACATGCCTGTGGCCATGCTGCCACGCTCATCATCTCAGCTGATTGTGTTTAGCGATCTGGAGGGAGAAAGATAACCCTTAGACACCAGTATACCTTCTTCCCTGTTCTGTGGGGAATTTATTACAAAAAACATGGTAAGATCTGGCTGGGGAAGTGTGCTGGGAACAAGGAGGAGAGGCTGAGCACTCCCCATGCTCCAGTCCCACATCACTGTGGTGTGAAAGAGCTGCTCTTGTTGCCTCTGTTGTGCAGGAGCCATGAACACCTCTGCCTGCTCCCAGTTCATGGTGCTGAGCTGGGGTTGGGCTTCAGTCCTGGACCGTGACCCTCTTCCCTGTGTAATGGGCTGCAGCACACCAGCACACAATAGTGTTAATAAACCTGGCTAATCTCCACTTTTTACTGCTTCTGAGGGCTTTAACAAGAGACACAGCTGGGGTTTTATATTGAAGTTGAGTTTGTAAATGGCTCTTGGAGCTCTGTTTGGGCTTGTTTTCTGTGGCACCAGGTAAGGGACGGCGCTGGCCTTGCTTTGTCCCACTAGCAGCAAGTCTTGTTAGAAACTGGCCCTTTCCCTCCAAGAGCGCGTTTTGCAATTAGCTTGGGGTAGGTCCATATTTTTAAGGTGAGTGGGTTTGAGATGTTTGGCCAAACGTGTGAGACTTTTTTCCACACGCCAGGCCCGGGTGGGGGTGTCTGGCTCTCGCTCTGCACTCTGTGCCGCAGCGAGTAAGCGCCGGGGCTGCGGGGTGCCAGTGGGGGGAAGGCAGGAGCGGCCTCCCCTCGCCCTCAGCCTGTCTGTCTTTCCATCCATCCATCCAGCCGCGGTGTCCTCCAGCCACTTCTGGCAAGGAGCCGGTCCCCCCGCGGGCGCTTGTCCCTGGAGTGTGTCGGCCCGTGCACTGTGCCTTCAAATGTACATTTTTAAAAGGGACTTCAATCGCCTTTTCCTGGAAGCGGGATGGGGCGGTGTGAGGCGAGGCCTGGCTCTGCCCTCAGCCGGGCCCTCTGTTTGTTGTTTTTTTTTTTTTTTTTTGTTTTGTTTTGTTTTTTTTTTTTTACACCTGTATACTGAGAACCAATAATCTGTATAAAACTATTTTGATGTCCACTGGGGTTGTCTCGTTCTTTCTACAAGGGATGGAGGGCGGGGGGGTCTGGGGAGAGGCGCCGCCCAGCCGCTAGGGGGCGCTGCCCCGGGAGGCCCGCCCATCCCGCCGTGTGCAGACGCTCTGGTTCGCCCTTCTCGGCGGCGCGATCTCGCCGGGCCGCGGCTGACGTTGGACAACAAAGATGGCGGCGGGAAGCAGCAACTACTGGGAAGGCGAGTGGGGCCTGAGGGCGGTGGGGAAGGGTCGGGCTGCCCGCCACGGGGCTGTCCCGGGGCACAACCTGGACCCCGGCAGGGCAGGACCGCCGCCGAGTCCCCTCTCCACGCCTCTGGGGAGCCGGCGCCGCCCGCGCCCGGAGGCTGCGGTGGCCCCATCGGCCCCTCAGCCATGAGGCGTCGGTGCCCGGCGGAGCCCCGCGGGGAGGGGGGTGACACCCCGTGTCGGACTCTCCCGGTCGCGTGGGATAGGACCTGTGGGTGTTCAGACGTGTTCATCCTTCCTATCAGCGTGGGGTGCTCCCCCATCTGCGCCCCCCCCCCCCCCCCCCCCCCTTGCCAGTCCCCCCCTTTTCTGTAGGGGTCCCCACTCTGGGGCTTCCGAGCGGTCTGTGCCAGCTCTGCTCGAAAGCATCTCGTGAAAACGCGTCCCCCGAAGGCGTGGGGTCACCGTGCGGGTTTGTGACTTCTTCCCCTGCCCTGGGCCGCCCTGTGCAGATCTCAGGAAGCAGGCGAGGCAGCTGGAGAACGAGCTGGACCTGAAGCTGGTCTCCTTCAGCAAACTCTGCACCAGCTACAGCAGCACCCGAGACGGAAGGCGCGACAGGTATAGGTACTAGCCCATTTCTTTATGTTTTAAATGCTGTGTGTGGTACTTGGTTCATTTTTATAATTTGCTTCATGCTAGTCCCACCTGTGGCTTTTACGCTTAGCTGCTTAAGAAGCTCATTCCTGCACTTCTTGGGTGCTGTGGTGCTGGTCTTGATGCAATATTGAGTGATATTGGCATGTGAGTCAGAAAGGTGCGTGGGCTGCAGTGATGCATTGTGAGAGCGTATATGTCACTAGGAGAAGCTGAATTTAAACTTCAGTTTGTAACTGTGGGGTTGGTGTGCGAACTGATGATAAGGCTTTTTAATACTCACTACATCAGCGTATTTTCCACTTTTTCTTCTATTAAACCAGTAGGAGGTCTTCAGGGACTTTGGTATTAGGGGAATTTAGCCTTACACCTACCTCCCAGGTGGGTTGGTGCGGTGTTTGTAATCCCTGTCTTAATAGTAAGGGAACTGGAGCACTGAGCAGCTGTGAGTGGTTCAAGGTTGTATTTATCTGAACTAGATAAATACATAAATGTCTGTATATATATATATATGAATGAGTAGTTTCTGTTTGCTTTTGGCAGATTTGTGTTTGACTGAAGAATTAATGTGATAAAACTTTGCAAGTCTCTCTAGCTTATGGGCCAGAGCTGAGGTCTTCCCTGCAGTTCCACAGCACTAATTATCAACTTCTCTGTCCCTCTGTGCAACCTTTAAAAGATGCCATTCTTTGATTACTAACTGTGGGTCCCACCACTGTGTATCAGTTGTGAATGTGACTACTGTATGTATGTGTGCTGATATTTTTGTTTATTTATTTTGATGACTGAATCAATTTTGAAACTTTCCATTAATTTCTGATTCTGGAAGCCTGAGAACACCTCAAGAATAATCATGTTACTCTTGAATCACAGCCCTAGTCTCTTTCTTGTTTCTGGTTCTGTGCTGTTCCTTGTCATGTAATCTAATTGTTTTAATTATTGTCCTATGCAAAACTTACTTCTCTTACTGTAGTTACAGTAGATTACCAAAACAAGGAGTAGTCTCTTGAAAGGTGTTAGTTGTCATACTTCTGCAGATTGGCATATTGTGCTTCTGTTCTGTTGCTTAGATAGGATTTTTCATTGTGGTTTTAGTTTATCTTAAGAAGCATATAGGGAAGGTGTACTGTATGAAACTGTAATTGTGATAAATTTTGTGCTTTGCATTGCTCTGTAGAACTCTGACTGCTTAATAGGTCAGTGGGTTGTCCTAACACTGCTATTAAGGTGTAATTATGTAGCTGGTGTAACATGCTAATACTGCAGTGTTCCTTCCTGCTAATAAATAAATAAATCAAGCTTAAAAGTTGGGGAGAGAATGGCACTGGTGCTAGAGACATTCTGACTGTAGATGAGTGTTTGGTGTCAGGCATATCTCCAAGGAGAGGTTGTATTTTCCCCAGGTGATACTATGTCATTAGTTCAGATAAGAGTTAAAGGCCTGTATGATAAGAAAATGTAATTTTTCTGAGTTTAATTCATCTCTCTGGGAAACCTGGGTAGTGGAGCTTGCCAACACCTAACACTAGTGTTTCCTTATTACTTGCATTCATTGGAAGAGGATGTACTTTTCAATAACTGCTCCTCTTTTTCTTTAGCTCTGACACAACTCCTCTCTTAAATGGGTCAAGCCAGGACAGAATGTTTGAGACCATGGCTGTGGAGATTGAACAACTTTTGGGAAAGGTAATTCAAGTTATTGTGGTTTTACTTCAGCATCTATGAAATACTGCAGTACAGGTTTCTGTGATGAATGTTAGGAAATATTAGTGTGGCTGTTAGACAAGTGTTTCTGAAGGTATACATCTGTCCTTAGAGCTAGCTCCTTTAACTTGCGCATTGTAATTTTCTTACAAGAGTAAGCTATTTCATGTTTTTGTGTTTTGTTTTATTTTGGTTTTTTTTTTTTTCTTCCTCTAGCTTACTGGAATAAATGACAAAATGGCAGAATACACAAATAGTGCAGGAGTCCCTTCCCTGAATGCTGCACTGATGCATACGTTACAGCGCCACAGAGACATACTGCAGGTAATAGACACATGTCCTTCCCACTTCTATTTTGTTTCTTTGTTTCTTTGTTTGGAACAATTATTAGCAGTGTTGATATCACAGCATGCTTGAATGTCTTACAAGAAGATTTAAATGCCACCAATCCCATCTCACTTTTCTTCTCTCCAGACACCCCAATCAGTGAACTCTGAGTTTAAAAAAATAGCATTTTTTATGCTGTATTGGCGACTAGTACAAGACTAAGAGAGAACAGTAAAGCATGTCGTCTTGTGTAGGTGTCTTTACTATAGCAAAAGGGGAAAGGTACTGTAATGAGCTATGTTGTCTGTGTGGTCTGTCACATAGCAATATGAGGGGGAACATCACACTTATGACTCTAAAACCATCTAAACTGCTAAAGGGAGTTGAAGAAAATATGATGGCTAAAGCTACTAATTGGTGTTATAAATTAACCGTGTTTCAAACTGGTGATGTTTTCATGGCATAGTAATGTTAAAAATGCATGTTTTAGTGGCTGGTCGTATACAGTTTGATTGCTGTTTTGTATGTGTCCAATACATGCTGTAAAAAGCATAGTGTTGTAAAAGTCATATAATTTCTAAGAAAAATAGTGCTAAATGTTTACAGTAGTTTTAGTGGACACCAGTCACCAATTAAATTGTTTTTTGAGAAGTATTAGCTGCCTGAAATGTTTTCAAATGTAAAACAGCAACTTAAACATTAAAAAAAAAAAAAAGTTGTCTTCACTGTTCAGAAAAGACTTTTTTTTCATCTGGTGTAACTTAAAAAAATAAACGCAAGAACATATTCACCACACCAAATAAGCAGGTTTTACTAGGGCTTCTGATTCAACCAGTAATGGGAAATTCCAACACAAAGTGATAATTCATCAGAAAGGTGAAGATATATGAAACTGGGAGAAGGAATTACAGTAGATTTCCCTCTGTGACCTTAGCTGTAGCTATCAAAGGTTAGCAACTACTGTAAGAGCAGTGAGTTTTAAAAATACTTTGCATTAACTTCCAAGTATTTTTGATGTTAATTTTCTAAGTTGATTTTGCACTTTGTGTTACAGAACAATTAACATTTTAAAAGCTGTCTGGATCTTACTTGAGTGTATAGTGTTGTTAAATTGATCTTGGGATCCTAATTTTGGAATAACTGTTTTATTACAGGATTATACACACGAATTCCACAAAACCAAAGCAAACTTTTTGGCAATACGAGAAAGGGAGAATCTGTTGGGATCAGTACGAAAAGATATTGAGTAAGTTGTATTGTGTGTTGTAACAATGGCCTGGGACTGTCCTTGGAGAGGGAAGGGAGAAACCTTCCTGTAGGAGAATATTTGGCATAGCTTATTCATCTGTACTTTGAGTAAAGCAAAAAAAGTTACTTGAATTCAAAACTCGTACTAAGGTTGTGATAAGATTCTGTTTTGTTGTTGGGTTCTAGATCATATAAAAGCGGGTCTGGTGTGAATAACAGAAGAACAGAACTATTCCTGAAGGAACACGAACACCTTCGAAAGTAGGTGTTACTTGTTATTTACTTATGTTGGAGGTGCCTGACTTTTCTGGGGGATGAAACATTCTTAATTTCAAGTATGCATGAAAGCTTTGTCCTTTTGTAGATGCATACGTCCACAGTGAATGCCTTGCACTATGTATTCTGTGACAGTGCTGCTACTTAGGCAGCTGGATAAACTTTATTTCTCATGCTGACTGTGAAGTGCGTGTAATAGGTAGTAGTCATGGTAGTTTGTAGTGATTTTGACTTTAGGATCTTGTCAACTCTAAGTGACATCTATATGTTGTCTTCAGTGGGTTTTCGCAAGTCAGTTGTGACTCAGACTTCATGCTTGGCCTTTCTTAAGGAAGTAGATGCCTTTATAGCATATTAACTGGGATTAAGAAAAGGATTAAAAACCAAAAGTCCAAATGATTTAGCTGGTTTTCCCTTTCTACTTTGTCAGATTCAGACAGAGAAGCACCTTTTTTTCCTTTTGTCTCTACTGAATGTGTACAACAGGTGATGAAAGAGATTAGTTCCAAAGTTACCTGTGCATTTAAGCTACAGTCAATTTGCAAGTTTTTGTTGGCCAAGATAACAAGCAAAATAGAAGGCACTTTCTTTTTATTCTTGTTGCAGGGAGGGCCTTAGATTATGAGTAGCTGCTTTGTGTGTTCCCCATTCATAGCAGCATAACCTGAAGGAAGAGCGCTGGAAGGTTCATGTTCTGTAGCTAGGCAAGAAGCAGCACTGATCATGCCTGTGTTCTTGACTGTTGTTATGCTAAACCTCAGTCTTACACAAGAGGGCAGGCTTTCATTTTAAAAAATAAATAAATAAAAAATTACCTGTGGCTTTTTCAAATGTGCTGTCTTAATTTTAACTTAAACTTCTAGCCAGAACTGCACAAAAAGCCTTTTGATTGTGGATTGCCACCATTTCATCCCAATTTCCTTTAGTATCTTTAAAACTTAGAAATTAACTGATTTAAAGCTTGAATAATGACTCTTGTTAGGTTGAATTTATTATTAAACATACGTGATTAGGAAACATAAAGTTTTCAGGAAAAAAACCCCAATCTTAACATTTTGTAGGTGAATGTTACCTGAAATGTTGTACTTTGAAGAATCAATGTCAGTTAATCTGAGTAAACCTTTTTCTTTCTAGATGTTGTGTTTAAGGGGCTTTGTTTTGCTTTTTTTATTATTATTGTTGGAGGGGTGGTAAATACTTCTATACTTTTGGCATTCCGTTAAAGAAGGCTACAGATAAAATATTTCTGGAGTTGTAAAATATGCTTCTAAGAAACTGATGTTCCTCTGAGTGTGCTGTTTTGAAAAGTTTGAAATGGTGAAGAGAGGAAAACTTTAACCATTTTATAAACATTATCTGGCAGTTGTCTTCAGAATTTGAGCCTAGCATTTCTTGAGGCATTGATTACTTTGATCTCTTTAAACATGCTAAATGCTCCGGTATGTTTTTAGGCTAAAATACATGAAAAATAGAATTAAATAAAGCAGTTTCAGAAACAGTTAAACCATCTTCTAGGTGATTTTTTTTTTTTAAATGTCAGGACTTTGAAAAACTCCCACAACACTGAAAATAAGAAATAAGTGTGAAGTGGGGATCCCTAGGAAACGGCTAGAACTAATCATGGAATACTACTGCAAAGTGGAGATAACTGTAAGGTGTATAAAGAAATCTGGTACAGAAGCAGAAGACAACTGTGGCGAGAAATCAAAGCTTGCAAGATGTTCAGAACTTTTGAATTGTGAATCAGTAAGCTCAGAAAGAGATATTGGCAGAGGAAATATTAAAGAGTTTCAACATATTTGTCTTCTGAGAAAGCAGTTAATGACCTATTACTGCCAAAAATGTGTAAAAGCTAGCAAAAGGTCCCAAGAAATCACTAGGAGCTGGCAGATTACACCAAACATGCTCCTAAAATAAGCTGACAAGCTTTGTGTGAGTTTTAATGCTGAATATTTGCAGTGCAGTAAGATATGGTGCTAGACTAATTGATTGAACTACATTATGAATATATATACATTGTCACAAAGACACAGCAGTAAAATTCAAATGTATTTTTAGTGAAGTTGTGAAACCTATAAAAAGAGCTTGAAGAATGGAGATGGGAATGTAAACTTTGCAGGTATATTATTATATGCTGCAGAGTAATGAAATAATACCATAGGAATGATATATTTGTATCAGCTATTGGAGCGTTCACTTGGTCTTGAACCCTGCTTAACTTATTATATTAAGTAGTTTAACCTATTACATATTTATTCCATGATCTGATAATGGAGAATGTATGAGCTATTACCCCACTGCAAAGTACCAGACTTGTCTGTCAACCTTTTTCTATATGCATTACCATGTGAGACAGGGGAAGCAGAAACTTGAGTTTACTCTTGGCGGTGTTTTCAGTGAATGCTCTTTAAAAAGCATGCTGGCAGCCCTGGCTGGTATTGTTTGTAGTGGTATCTCACTTGGGAGTGAGAGGAGGAGAGCCGGAAAGTTCTTCTCTGGGAGGGACTTTGGAGAGAAGCTGGACCTCTCCTCTTTGGCCAAATCTGCCTTTTTATTTTCCTGTCACATTTTGAACATCATCTCTTCTGGAAGAAGAACGAAGGAGAATCTGCCTGTCTTAATTTTACATATGTTGGTAATTGTGAAAAAGGAGGGGAAATAAAATCTGTGAGTACAAAAATTTGATGAGTAAAAGGATCCAACGTATATTAAGCACCAAGGGAATTGCAACGGCTGAAGCACGGTGCAAACCCTTGCTCTGCCTGTAATACATAAACCTGCTGTCCATTAAGCTGTGAGGATGGTGCATCCATTTGGGTTCGCTTTCCCCGGGTGGGGCTGGCTGCTGTGTCAGCGCTGCTGGCACCGGGGTGTTGTGCACTTCCACGTCAGGATCGTGGAGCTGCCGGGGCAGCCCGCGGGCTGGGGGCTCTGCGCTGCTGCACCCCACTTCTGGAGACTTAGAGAAAGCACGTCACGTTCTTCTCTCTTTGACTGAAAGCTTCGCTGCTGGTTCAATTCACTTTATAAATTGGCTGATTTTGACTTTTATTGAGAAAGGAGATTTGTCTTGAAATTTTATTGACTGCGGCTAGCAGGCATGAAGTTTCTGAGTCACTCAGCTTCCTATATAACATCTAAACAGATAATTCAAGGCTAGTTTTACCTACCTCTGGATAGAAAAACAATATCTACATTTTTTTTTAATAAGAATTTTAACACCTATCCATTAAAATGAGGGTGGAAGACAGGTCTTGTTCAATATTGATTCTCTGTTAATATTTTTACCTAATATTTCAGATCTTTTGGCATGTCAGATGCATAAAGAAATGCCAAATCTAGTGAGGTCATGATTGCAGTTGGTTTTTGAATGCTTGTTGACTCGAGTCTGTGCCATTCAGTAAAGGTGTTTGTCTCATCTTTCCGGTTTGTATACTTTTGGCCAGGGAGGTAAACAAGTCATCCTTTTTCTTGTAATACTGTTTTCCATCTAAGGAAAACAATTTTGATTAATAGATCTAGCTTAGCATTTTAAAAACTGCTCTGAAAAGTGCTGCTTCAAAGGAAAGAATCCTGTCAAGTTAGTGTTTGCCCTGAGAAATTCTGCAGTTATCAATAAGTTTTAGTCTAAGTCAGCAAAGAAGGGACTAAGGTCTTTGATTAAATTTGCAATACTGTGTGTGCACACAAGTGAAAAATTCCCTTATGTTAGTGTGTGAATGTTATGGTATTGGGTGATACTGATGAATTTGTGTAAGAACTGGTGAAGGCTTCCAAGGTTTAGATAGAAATTACAGATTTTATTACCTGTGATGAATTCCTTGTAAAACTAGATAAAAACTAGACCACTTAGAGGTCACCAGCATTTGCTGTAGTAGATCTGTTCTGTCATTGTAGGGCCACTGTATGACTTGCTTTATTAGTCAGCTCCAGTGATCAAAAATTATTTATCCTTTTCCAAAGGAAGTGGCTGGTGGTAAAGCAGGTGCCTGTGCTGGTACAGATATCATTAGTTGTGTTTTTAATCGTTGTCAGATGACTGCATGTTTCTGGTGAGTGTTGCTTTGCTGGCTATCACTTTATCCAGTAAAAAAATTTTCAGCTTAGATAGAGTATCAGGTGTAAGTGATGCAGGTAGATGAGATCAACAGCTCAAAGTGTTTGGGCTAGCTAAGGACATAAAACACCCCTGTGTGTATTAAAAAGTTTAGCACTGGGAACAGAGGGGATAGGGGTACCAGAGTAGATGAGTGAGAAACTTTGAAGGAGAAAAAGAAGAGAGCAAACAAATCAGAGAAGGATGTGTTCTGCATGTGAAAGAGAAAAGAGAAATAAGATAAGTGAGCAAAAGAAATAACGGGAATCTGCAGCAGTTGCGTAACGGTGCTATTAATAATACATACCTGATTCATGGAGATGATTAGGATAAATTAATGTTTGTGCAGTACTTCATATATGTGAAGTAATCTGGAGTACTAAATATTTTTATTACTATTATTATTACTTTTTTTTTTTTTTTTTTCAGCAGAACTATTTAAAATTTCCTGTTGTTGTTTGGGCAGAAATGGCCACATTCAGTAGAGAATAATCACCCGGAAACTACTTTCAAACTTTGTTCATAATACAGTTCAGATCTTAATAGAGGGAGTGACTTGTTGCCTGGTTTTACTCTAAATGTTGACGTTGCTTACAAATTTTCACTTCAGTACTGATTTACATAGAGAAGTCAGCTTAATGAGATGCAGAGACACCTTACAGGGTTTTTGATTACAGGTGTGTTGATCTTTTGGGAAAAAGCTTCCAGTTTTCTATGTTAATTTAATTTCCTTTTCATTTGGTATCCTTGTTCTCTGCCCTGCATGCCCACATTTCCATTCACTGTGCTGTTGCTGCTCAGGTTCCTGTGGATTTCAGTGGACCTTCAGCATTGGATTAAAACCAGAAAACTGCTGTTGTCTCCCCTTCCATCCCCTCCTTCACCCCCA